CCAAACAGTTCTGATTATAGAGCACTGGCCTTTGGTGTTGTATGTACTCCTTTCCCAACATTATGATAGATTTCATGTAAAAAATGGTCCAAAATTAACTGTCGGTTCCATTCCTACATTTTCATGTCGTTAGCCTGCTCATTTTCACTATTTAGAGTCCTAAGACTTATGACATCCGAGCTATTGTTTCACCTGTAAGTTTATTCAATCATCCAGCTTTTAGAGATTTCTAAAGAGAAGAAAAGCTTCTTACTGGAAGCACCATAAATAAATGTTGTATATTGATGGGTAGAGAATTTGGCCCCTTTCTTTTCCTTTTTGATGAATTTTTCACTTGCTTTAACAAGATAATGTGGGTGTGGGCTTACTTGGATGTGTGAAAATTACAAGTTGCAGGAGGCAAGACTGCCACTTAAGAAGCTTAGTACACTGGGAGCGGGAACTATGGGACTGCTGAATGGCTAATATAAATAGAAACAGGTGGAAGCTGCATTTTTGGGATCAATCAGCACCTAATGGATGGCTCAACTAATGTTGCTCGATGATGATGCTGTTGCTGACTTGGGAACTTCAATGCTGCTAATAGGTGAAAGTTGCGTGGGCAAAAGTAAAGGTATGACACAACCTAATAATCACGTTACCTTGGTTTTGTTTAGTCTGTCTCATTTGGGCGCTTGATGGTGCTGGTTAAAATCCTGATACTATTTATATTATGAAGCAATGTCAATAGGTGGGTGACTATCCAAACAGAAATCCTTTCAAAACAAAGAAATATAATGGAAAATGATCGAGTTTTGAAGCACATGATAGATAATGGTGGGCTCTAATCTTTGCTTTAAGGTGATGTTGCGTTTCTTAACTGAAGTTGCATTAGTTTGATCCATGGTTTTGGTTATTTGATGTAGTCATTGTGTAGTTAGGACATGGCCGAAAGAGAACCAATTTTCGATCCCCAATTTCATTTGATTGTAAGTCGGTCGATATGGCCAGTAGGTAGCAGGCAGATGATGTCATGATGATGATTGATGGCTATGGTGGGTTTCAAACAAGGGTATAGCTTGCAGGCAGTGGCCAGTATATTTTCCCATATGGGCTTTTCTTCACATCCGCAACAATAATTCAGTATGCAATTTAAATATATAATAATGATGAGTAGGCTAACAGCTTAGATTTGCATGGTTTTAAGGAAAACGTAAGTCTTTATCTATTGAAATGTTCAAGTTGTTGAATGAGACATATCTTACGTGCGTTCTTATACAATTTCTAACTTTTTAAATACACTGCTTCTCAAAGATACTAGGCGTAGCTCCAAATGCAATTGCTAAATACTTCCTGCGGCGTAGCCGCGGGTATTGATACTAGTTAATAATAAATTTTAAATAGTTTTTGTACATATTTGTCCATCTTCTGTTTTATTGTATTGCAATTGAAAATTGTGATTATTTTGCCTTGAATTAGCTACTTAAAATGACGATATGTGGTATGCACCCAAAACTTGTGCATCTGGTATTTTGAATGTATTTGCACAAATTAAAACTCTTAAATCATTGTTTTTAGGAATTGGAGAATCAGGGTGTAATGTTTGCTATTCAAGTTTGCATATCCTAAATGTTAATCAGTTCATGCTCTAGAATTCGCACAATATACATAGTTTTTATTTTTTTTTTGGATTCTTGTTAAAACTCCTAATCATTGTTTTTAGGAATTAGAGAATAAATGGTGTAAGGTTTACAATTCAGGTTTGAATATCCTAAACGTTGATCAATTCATGCTCCAAAATTCGCCAATGTCATAATTTTTTTTTTTGGAATCATGCTCTAATTTTTCCCATCTTTACTATTACTGTCTAGTGTAATATCCTAAACGTTGATCAATTCATGCTCCAAACTTCGCCAATGTCATATTTTTTTTTTTTTTTTTTTTGATTCATGCTCTAATTTTCCCCACTTTACTATTACTGTCTAATGTAATCCCCTTGCTGACAAAGTTGAGGTTTTTTTCACTGTATAGGTACCCCAAATCTAGAGTCAGACGATAATAGCAGCGATTGTTGACGAAGAGCGACCGTGATAGTGTACAACCAGGAAACTCATCGTCGACATGCATAATATACAGACAGGTAACTGAATTTATCTCTCTTTGTCAGGAAAGGTGGTTCTGCTGTCAAATCTTTGCTTATAAGTGTGACATTGGTTAATTTTTGCTAACGGATGTTCAGGTTGCAGACCAGCTGTATAACCACTACATCAAACACTTGCTCGCGATCAATGTTAATGTTATGATCTTATGAGAGTGTTCTTATGTTATATCCACTAGTTCGAAGAAGTGGTTGCAGGTGGGAGAATAGTGTTGCAGTTCAGGGGGGAGACGTCTAGAAGATCCGGCGCCGGACGTGAGTTGCTTGCTCTGGGATTACTTAGGATTGGCCTTCTAGAATTAAGTTTCTGAGGTGCACAACTAAACCTACTTTCCAGATCTCTTTGATATTAAACCAGCTTGGTCTCTTACGTGCTTTTATGTTGTGGGCTACAGGGGCTCATTCCTGAAGGGAAGCTGGACACTTACAAAATCCTGAAAATCGGCGGTCCCACCAACTCTTACCCCATCCTCCTGCTGGTCCATCAGCGTCACCACCGTCAGTTTCCGTTGTTCCTCCCCATGGATAGGATAGAGTACGAACTTGACGACACCATGCCATCAGAATCTTCATTGCTACAGCCTTGCTCTGCAGCGAGAGTCCAAAACCGAATAGGTGAAATTTAAAATTGTCCACAAAGAAGACAGATAAATAAGACCTCACCATCATAGGCGATTCTGTCCACCGTCGTCGGTCCTCCTGTTCCAAATCGATTTCTTCATCCTTCGCTATCAGGTTCTAGTTCCGTGTCGACCAACAGCGAGGAAACTTTTAGGGTTTTGTTGAGGGATTACGGTGGGGAAAGGAGGGAGCCATTTGTCTCCCACCAAGTACAATCGTAGCCAACTGGTGGGGAGATGACAACACTGTAGAAGCAGAAGGAAGACATGGATTTGCTGTACGGGAAAGCAAAGCGGAGTGAAGAATTTACGGGTTGGGAAGGAGGCGTGTCCAAAGAGCTCTGCAAAAGTGGCATGGGTGGTGCGTGCAAGACCATATGCAGAGAGGAGGTGATTGGAAGAAGGACAGTGAAGTTGACAGAGCAAGAATGGAAAATGCATGGTTGAGGACAGTGCAGCAGCCGAGAACTTCTAGTGGGGCGGGACAGTCACGAAGGCAGGTTTCCAAGGAGCTCTCCAGTGGAGAGTTTGAGGCTTAACTCACTAAACGTTAAAAATTGAAACAGTAGCAAGAAATATTGGCGCAAGCGTACCCACTAATTATAGATAAGAAGAATTCCGATCTCCCTGTTTTTCCATTGCTTTCTATCTATTATCCGCTGTTTTTCTTATCCATAAAAGAAAACCCCTCATTTTTCTCCACCTTTTGCTCTCTCTTGTTCCAGCTCCTCTGCGTTTCCCCTCAAATGGCTCAAATCATCCTGTTCCCGGTTGCAAACTTCCTCCTTGGCAAGGCATCCGACTTGGCCAAGGAGGAGATTGGACTGCTGTGGAATTTCAGACGGGAGCTCAGCAAATTCAAGGCCACCGTCTCCACCATCCAGGCCGTGCTCCGTGATGCTGAAGAGAAGCAGGCCCACAGTCACCAAGTCAAAGACTGGCTCGAGAAGCTCTCAGAAGTCATGTATGATGCCGAAGATCTGCTCGATGATCTCGCTACCGAGGCTCTTCGGAAGGCCGTGCTAGCAGCTGCAACAGAAGATGATGATGGTGGCGGCGGCAGGAGAAGGATGTCAGCAACGACTTGCTGGAGTGTGGTATGCTTCCTGTTCTCCTCACTTGCCAAGCAGTTGGTGTACGACCTTAAGATGGCTCATGCTATCAAGGCCATCAGGGAGAAGCTTGACGATATAGCGAAAGACAAAGACGTCCTGCATCTGGAAGTTGATACTTCAGAGGAAGAAACTCTTCCTTCCAGGGAGACTGATTCCTGCCCGCCCACGATTGTGGTTGGGAGGAAAAATGACAAGAAGAAGATCATTGAGCTACTGCTGAATTGCAACCCAGAAGCCAACATTTCAGTTGTCCCAATCGTTGGGATGGGTGGGCTGGGAAAAACTACTCTTGCTCAGCTTGTATTTGATGATGATCAAGTTAAAGGTCACTTTGATATCAAAGCTTGGGTCTATGTTTCACAGAGCTTCGATGTCAAAGTGCTTCTTGGAAAGATGCTGCGATCCATAGACTGTGGAAGCCAAGCAAGTGTTGATTTGGATGTTTTGCAAACTCGGGTCCGGGAAGCAATCAAAGGCAAGAGGTTTTTATTTGTATTAGATGATGTGTGGGAAGAGACCGACAGAAGTTTGGAGAAATTGGGAAATTATTTGGCGGTCGGTGCTCTTGGAAGCAAAGTGCTGCTGACTACTCGATCCACAAGAGTGGCGGAGTTTGCTGGCGGAGCTCTAAAGTCGAGAACAAGTACTAGCATTGTGGAGCCTTATATATTGGAAGGCTTATCAGAAGAAGAGTCTTGGAACTTATTGGTGGAAAAGGCCTTACCAAGAAAAGTCCCGCAAGCACCACGGCTGCAAGAAATTGGTAAAGAAATACTGAGGAAGTGTGGTGGAGTTCCTCTAGCTGTGAGCACCATAGCTGGTGTGCTAGTAGATTCTGAAGATCCAAAGATCGAGTGGCCATCTTTTCTACAAAAAAGCGTTTCGAGCATCACAAAAGAAGGAGAAGAAGAAGATCCTACTATGTCAGCTCTCAAACTAAGTTTCAATCACCTCCCTTCCCATATGAAGCATTGCTTTGCTTATTGTAAATTGTTTGTCAAGGGTCAGAAGATCTCTATAAAATTGTTGGTTCAACTTTGGGTTGCACAAGGGTACGTTGATTCGGAAGATAAAGGTTTTGACTCCTTCAAAACATTATGGTGGCGATCATTCTTCCAAGATGTGCAAATGGATGGGCTGGGCAATTTGTCAAGGTGCACAATGCACGACTTGATGCATGACCTAGCTGGCCGGATAGCTGGAGAAAAGATCATAGTAACCTCAAGTTTAACGATTCTAAAAAATATTCCGTCAAAGACCCGTCACTTGTTCGTAACGGCTGGTGGTGATGATGATCAGAGAGAAGACGATCATGGTGGTGATGGTCTGGGAAATAAAAGCAAGGTGCGAACTCTTATATGCGGCGAGGCTCTTACAAGCAAGGAAGTTCAACAAGTCATTAACAACTTCATACGCTTGCGCGTACTAAGATTTGAATGCGAAGATCGAGACTCAAACGATGAGGACAGGTCAATTTTGGATGCTTTTACTTCAATTGATTTTTATAAGTTGAAGCATTTAAGATTGCTTTATTTCAGTTGCAAGGGAAGGAAAGGACTTCCAAACTCAATTAGCAACTTGGTTAATCTACAAGTTCTGGAACTCATTGACATCGGGTCACTAAAAGAACTACCAAAGGGTATTGAGAAGCTTGTTAATTTGAAGCATTTGGAGCTCTTAGCAGAGGAAGCAGGAGATATAACCCATATGCCAAAAGGGATTGGGAAGTTGAAGTTTCTCCAAACGCTACCAATTTTTGTAGTCAGCAAGAAGAACGGTTGTATTAGTAATGGCAATACAGTTGGGGCTGAGTTGGATGAGCTGAAAGGGTTAAATGCATTGTGTGGAGAATTGACTATTAAAGGCCTGGCAAATGCCGAATCTCCAAGAACAGGTGTTTATGTTTTGAATGAAAAACTACATCTCCAGTCACTTGTTTTAGATTGGAGCAGAGATGATGACATTGGCGACGATGTTCATGATGTTACTTCCTTGTCTATTCATGATGAAGGGATATTGGAAATGCTGAAGCCACACTTTAATCTGAAGAAGTTGGCGATACAAAGAGGTTATGGAGGGGTGAAGATTCCTAACTGGTTGTCTGGCCTCACCAATTTGGTTGAGTTCTCGTTACTACATTGCATGCAATGTGAGTACCTCCCCCCGCAAATTCATAAAATGTCAAGTCTGAAGAAGCTTATAATTAGAAATTGCCCGCTGTTGAAGGGCATCGATGATGATGGCCATCATCGTGATTCTTCACCGACAGAGCAAGAGGATAGCGAGTGGCCTCGGTTTCGTTTTCTAGCCGACTTGCGCATTCAGAGTTGCCCAAGGCTAACTCGGTTGCCCACTTTCCCTACCGTTGAAGGCGAGTTGGAGTTGGTTGCGCTGAGCTTAGCACCATTAGCTAGGACTATGAAGATGAAGATGAGGGGAGAAGGAGGTGTTGGTTATACGGATGACTTTGATGCAAATATCCATCCTCTTCGTACTTCTTCTTCTTCCTCTTCTTCTTCGGCATTGGTCCACCCACTCTCTGAGCTCACTAAGTTGACCTTAGAGAAAATTGATGACGATCTCGAATCCCTATCACATCATGATTCGAGTATTTGTCTCGTATCTCTTCAGAAGTTGAGAATTGGGGACTGTCGTCGAGGGGTAAAGATTCCTAGTTCGTTGTGTTCCAGTGCAAGCTTGACGAAGATTCACTTAGAAGAATGTGAGATGGTAGAGTACCTGCCACCCCTACATGGACTTCCATCCTTGAAAGAGCTAACTATTTGGCACTGTCCGAATCTGAAGGGATGTTGGTGGAAGAAAAGGAAGGGGAATAATGATAATTACGGCAATGGTGGTGATGATGATTATTACAACTTTGATCCTTCAATGGAAGAGGAAAGGGAAGATGAGGAGTGGCCCCGTTTCCCTTGTCTTTTGGAATTGGCTATTGGGTTTTGTCCAAACCTGACTCGGATCCCTCTGTTTCCAACGGTTGAAAGGTTGAAGCTGATGCTAACCAGCTCAAAGGCGCTAGTGCGGACAATGAAGATGCAAGTGGTGGGAGCCACTCATCTTGATTCTCAGCTACTTTCCACTACAACAGCAATTGCCTCTCCTTCTTCCCTGAGGACTGCGCTGGATAGGCCGCTATCTAACTTGGAAGAGTTGAAACTTTTTGGAATGGATGATCTGGAATTTCTACCAGAAGAAGGCCTCTGCAACCTCACTTCTCTCCGTCATTTGAAGATTTATTTTTGTCCAAAATTAGCAACTCTGCCTCCAGCAATGCGACACCTCACCTCTTTACGCAGATTGGAAATTTATGGGTGTCATCAATTGACAATAAGATGCCGAAAGGGTGAAGGCGAAGACTGGCCCAACATTTCCCATATCCCTGTGATAATACTGGACGGCATTTATCTCCAAGGTTAATCAAATCATCATGTCCTTATCACTAGCATTTATCTGTTTTCTTTCCCAATTAGCCTACTAGATTATTCCACCGAGTCTTTTACATGGCCCGTGTGTTCACTCATTCAGGATCCACTCTCAACAGCATATCATTCTTTTTGTTGCTAGGGATTGGTCTAGTGGTAATACCACTAGCCACGAACCTGGAGGTCCCAGGTTCAAGTCCCTTTAGTAGTACCTAATAACAAAAAATTAACCTATATCACCCTTATCTAAAAAAAAAAAAAAAAAATATTCGGGTTGTGATTCTGTGTATGTATATGGTAATTTTTACCTTCCACCTACCAAAATGATTGCAAGGCTTAAAGTAAGCTATGATCATCGAATTTCAATTTTTAATTGCTAGAACTAGTCTGCTAAGATAATCTAGAACTACAACTAATCCATTGCATTTTTTTTTTTTAAATCCTATCTCTTACATTCTAAACCCTAAGCCACCAACTCAAAATCATTAAAATACTAGTAAATTTTAAATAATTTTGTGGATATTTGTCCATCTTCTGTTTTATGGTATTGCAATAAAAAAAAATGTCATAATTTTGCCTTGAATTAGCTAACTTAAAATGGCGATATGTGGTATGCACCCAAAAACTTGTGCATCTGGTGTTTTGACTTTTGAATGTGTTTGGACAAATTAAAACTCTTAATCATAGTTTTTAGGAATTAGAGAATAAGGGTGTAAGGTTCATAATTCAGGTTTGCGTATCCTAAATGTTGTTCAATTCATGCTCTAATTTTTCCACATCTCTACTATTACTGTCTGATTTAATCCCCTTGCTGAATGCTGACAAAGTTGAGGTTTTCTTCACTGTATATGTACCCAGGCCCATATCTACAGTCAGACGATGAATGAAGCTTCTTTTGTCCAAGTTGAGGAAGTGCGACCGTTAGAATGTGCAACCAGGAAACTCATCGTCGACATGTATAATATACACACAGGTAGCGGAATTTATATCTCTTTGGCAGGAAAGGTAGTTCTGTTGTGCGGTATTACCACTAGATCAAGCACATGTTCACGATCAATGTTAATGTTATATGATCTTAAGCGCACGCTCTCCTGTGTTTGATATGAAACCAGCTTGGTGGTCTCTTAATTGCTTTTATGCTGTGTGCTAACAGGGGCTCATTCCTGAAGGGAAGCTGGATCACGTGAGAGCCGAGATCGAGAGAGAAGGGTCGTTTGCTGTGGATCGCCTGGAGACCATCTTGATCCCATGGGATGGATGTAATGGAGGAGAAACGCAGCATGACAGGGCGACCACGGCGAGGAACATGGGGAAAGCGATTAGAGCAGTGAACGAGGCGAAGATTCGGAGCCATTTCGGTGGAGGAGATGTGGAGTTTGTGGACCGGTTGTTTCAGACGTTCGGTAGGATCATGGTGGATGACTCTGAAGGAAGTTGAGCATGTCAGTATTGTTGTCTCTGTTGTCAAGAAGCAATCAACCGTTTGAGTATGTTAGTAATATTGTCGATGGCTTTGTGTGATCTACTTGGTAATATCATTTGCACTCGTTTCGGTTTCAAGTGTATTATTATTGATTTCTTGTTCTATGAAAAAGGATCTATTGAGACTATCTTCGCTGAATTTTTTGATTGAAATTTGAATCTGAGTATCTTTTAGATTGATTGTTGGCCTCGATGTTTAAGTGTCGTCAAGCGTTTTTGATTTTTGTGGTATGTTTGGAGGGGTAGCGATGACAAAGAATGATTGAATCTAGGAGTTTAGTGATGACAATTATTTACCTTATTTGCACAAACCATATTTTCATCTAAAAGAAATTTTAACATTCATCTATCTTTCAACTATTTAGACTCAATTATTTATTCTCATGTATTTATAATTCATTTGTGAAGTGTATATTCTATGTGTTCTTGTAAAATAATTAAATATCGATGTTATTTTTTCAAATAACATATAAAAAACTGTTCTACCTCGCGCGTGCATTACCCGATTTGACCTGCACTTAGTACTGGGCGAGTATGAGTACTGTAGTTGACGGCCTAGCTTCGCCTCGCCCAATTGCCATCACTAAGAGACTGACAATTCTAATTTGTGGTCACGGTTCTTAAGTTTCGATTACTATTGAGCCGCGATTATCATGGTTGCATGCCGGTGGCATGTCGTTCGATCGGTTGTACTGGGTTCAACTGGCGTCGATCACAAAACTGGCTTCAATGCTTCCTCATATGACTGGCATGATCTATATTTTACTTCTAAACATAATTACGTCATTCTTGAGAATTTAGTTAACAAAAAAAATTATTTGTTTATTTAATTTGGTAGTTAAATGTTGATGTTATTTGTTGGATTGAAGTATGAAATATTAATGTTTAGATGTTTATGTTATTTGTTGTATTCAAATCTCGAGTATAAATGTTTCGATGTTGGTGTTAAATGTTGTATTTAAATATAATACTTTTCATTTTGTTTGAAAAACTTCTAAATCAGCGTGAACTGATTTAAACTACGACAATGCCACTTGTCAAACCGGCATATAACGATATCAACCGATTTGATAACCCTGTCGGTTATCATGGTTTGATCCGTTTCCGGTTTGAGACCGGACAGCTGCACTCCCCCTACCGCCCAAACCAAACCCAATTCCAACTACGACTCCCACTCTTCCTCCCACTCCACCACTCCTCGCAGCCGCCGCTTAATTTCGTTGCCGCCCGTTCGCCATCATCACCCTCCTCGAGCTGCTGGTCGCCGCAGCAAGCTTCCCCGCTTGAAGTGGCAGTCCCCCATTCTTCTCCCGTCGACCAGTCCATCTTAGATCTTCCTTGCTACAAGCAGTTGTCTTCTTTCTCCCCCCCATTTATAAATTATACTACTTTTTGATGATTCCCACTTGGGCTTCGGTTTTGTCGAGCAGTTTTCAAATTTTGAAACTCCCTTTCCGACTACTTGTGCAAAGAATAGCTAGTTTCTGACTTTGTCTGCCGCGGGTAGTGCCCTTGATTGCGTCGTAGTGTCACTCTTTTCTCCACGCCCCATTTCTGCTTCCCCTTCTCTTTCTCAGCAACACCAGCCCTCCTCCCAGGTTTGATTGCCGAATGGGTCTTTGTTGAGTGGGCTAAGAAGAGGATAAAAGAGAGATGTTGAGTAGCCGTGAGATTCTCAACTTCTTAGTAAGGAAGAAGGACGCGAGGAAGATACTGAAGCGCAAGGACAGTGACGCTGGGGAACGAGGTATCGTATCTCTACTCCATCCCAAGTTTCCCCTTTTTGGTTTCCATTTCTTTCCTTTTCTGTAAGTGTATCCCGTCGAGGCAACTGTTGGCGCCTTCCATTAGGGCTCTGGTTTGAATGGCGAAGAGTGATTATGCATGTTGGTTCTTGGAGCTCATGTGATTATGTCAAGTAGATCCCTTTAAGTGATCAGGCCAAGGGGGTGAAGCTGCCTGATGATAGCTTGATGAGAACAGAACACCTGTATCTATAAGATTAAGAACCCTTAGTTGAAATTGAAAGTACCCAAAGCCTGAAACTTTTGCTATCCGGCAGCTCAGATGTTTCTACCCTCAAGTCTTAGTTATCGAATTCGGCCTAAAGCTGGAGTCTTTGGCAGAACATTTTGGTTTTTGCTAGCTGTTAATGCTGAACTTGTGAACAAAGAGACTGTTATTTCTTTCCTAATGTGAGTAACACGCTAACTAAGAAGGCCCTCTCTCATGGCTGCCATGCCTGCTGGTCAGGAAGGGCTCTGGAAGAATTGAGGTCCTCTTTGTTTAACAAGCTTCGGTCACCTGAGGGTGCGAAACGACAAGAGCAACGCTACTGTGGTCCTATCGTTGCCCTTACGTTCAACTTCGTCATAGCTGTTGGCATTATCTTCATAAACAAATGGGTTAGTGACTCTCCTCCTTGGTGCTTTTCATATCCCTTTGACCTTGCCACTCTTTGGACGTCGTGCTCTCCGAGTGACCAGTGCCATTGTTCATTCTGTTTCATTTCAGGTGCTTCAAGGAGTTGGTTTCCGCTTTCCTATATGTCTCACTTTTATTCACTACTCAATAAGCTGGATTCTGATGGCCGTTTTAAAAGCCTTGTCCATTCTTCCTGCACCGCCTCCATCAAAAGCTAACAACTTGACTTTGTTCACTCTTGGTTTTGTCATGTCGCTTTCTACTGGCCTGGCTAATGTTAGCTTGAAATATAACAGGTCAGATAAATCAATTTAGTCCCTGCGTTTTCTGCCGCTCTCTGCATTTAACTGATTCTGCTTTTTTCCCTCCTTCCCAGTGTGGGTTTCTATCAGATGGCTAAGATTGCAGTTACCCCTTCCATTGTCCTTGCTGAATTCATATGGTTGAAAAAGAGAGTCTCCTTCTCCAAGGTAATGACTTTCCCCGTATTCTGTGTTGATAGTTGCCTCTCCAGCCTTGCTTAAGAATGTATCACCTGTTTCCTTGAACACTTGGAACAGCATTGTGATCAAAGCACTGAATCCATGCTGGTCATAGTTTTGCACTCATGTTAAAACCTAAGCTGATGTTCATGGACTTTAATGAGGAATTGTTTTATTATCAAAGTTCAACTTACGAAATCGTGATAACTTTCTCACTTATTTCGCACCATACTTTGGGATCTATTCTATGTAATCTGTTAGGTGGTTGCACTTACAGTTGCCTCTACTGGAGTTGCGGTCGCTACAGTTACTGACCTACAGTTTAGCCTATTTGGCGCATGTGTAGCACTAGCCTGGATAGTCCCTAGTGCAGTGAACAAGATCCTCTGGTCTACAATGCAACAGCGTGACAACTGGACAGCTTTGGCGTAAGAGACTGTTATCCTTAATTCTCCTAACAAAGACTTATTTGCAGCCAGTAGATTCCAACATATAGTTGCTGATGGGCATTGAATGAATGGACAGGTTGATGTGGAAGACAACACCAATCACTTTAGTTTTCCTTCCCGCGCTGATTCCTTTCTTGGATCCCCCTGGTGTCTTCTCCTACGACTGGACCTTCAGTAACACGACGTTGATAATCACCTCTGCACTTTTTGGTTTTTTACTCCAGTGGTCGGGGGCCTTGGCCCTTGGGTGAGTATTTTTGCTTCTTGATTTTGAATTCCATGATTCTGCAGCCAGGCTGATTTGTTAGTTTATTGTTAGCATTGTCATTATAAGTTCTACTTGATCAATTATTTGCTGCATCCTGCATGGAGATAATGGCATTGTGAGTTGTGACACAATGATAGCTTCAGGAAGGGTAAAAACTTATCATGCCATTCAAGATAGTTTATTCGTTACTCGTGCTTTCCATATAAAAGAGCTTGATTTAGTTTTTTCCTTCTTTAGATCGTATGCAGTCTGTATACTTCCATCCTGTTGTTTGAAATCACTTGCCCTGATTGTAACCACCCTTTTGACATCAAGGTTTCCTAGTCCTGACTAGCTTGACAATAACTGTTTGATTAATCTGTTAATCAGGGCAACATCTCCTGTTTCCCATGTCGTTCTCGGTCAGTTCAAGACCTGCATTGTGCTGCTGGGGAACTACTACATCTTCGGATCAAATCCTGGAGTGATCAGCATCTTCGGTGCATTGATTGCAATCGGTGGCATGTCTGGCTTCACGTATCTTAATCTACAGAATGTCAAGTCCTCGTCGTCGCAAACAGCGCCTCAAAAATCATCGTCGAAAGACAAATCCAGGTTGAGCAAAGAGAACGGAGGAGGCGACGGCAATGATGCATATGGGGAGGAATCTGTGTAACTTATTAACAACAGCAATCTTTTCTTCAGTTGCTCGTTTGACTACTTGTTGTATCCCGTGAAAGCCCGAGTTTCTGTTCTGACTGTAGTCTAACTTTTGGATGCCAGATTTGCCAAGGGTCCAAATTGATGCCACGCAGTAACCATTGTAGTAAACCTTGTTGTAGGGGTAGAAACTAGAGAGGTCAATGCTCTGTAATCTGTATTTTTCAAGTGCAGTTTTAGCGGTTTAGTTGCATTATATATGAGCTTTTAGTGGTAAACACAATCCAATGGTGAGTCTAACCATTCACATAACTGACAACACGACCGGTTGCTACAACATCCTGCTCGATTTCACGATCCTATAGGCGCAAAGATAACGCCGTTTGGATGTTCGACGATAGATATACGAGTTGGCAAAAGTTTAGTACGAACATCATAAGTTTCAGTAGCGAGCGACGAACTTCGACGTCGAATATCTTACTCGTTTGGAGTCCAAATTCACTTCTGTCGAATCACACGTGATCGTGGAATGATTTCCGATGTCTGGAAACCAAGATTTGGCTCATTTTAGAATGAGAATTTCAGTGAATTGGACAGGAATACAGTGAAAATTACAGTAGTGCCATTGGCCCTCCCACGGCTCAGTACATATAACTTCTTCATTCTGCTGCCATCGTCTTCCTTTCTAGATCTCAGAATCCTTCTCCCGCGAATCGGAAAATGGCACCCAAATCATCAGATTCGCAGAGTCATCTCCTCAATCAGTCAGACCCAACAACAAATGGCTCAATCGATCCGATGTTCCACCTCGTCAGAATTCTCCCGTACTCTGTCCTCCGCGCGCCGCGCCTCCGCCTCAAGCTGCCGTCCCTCAGCCTCCCATCTCCGATGACGGTCTTCTCCCTCGTCCTCCTGACCTACTTCATGGTCGTCTCCGGCATCGTCTACGACGTCATCGTCGAGCCGCCGGGAATCGGATCGACCCAGGATCCCGTCACCGGCACCGTGCGGCCCATCGTGTTCATGTCCGGCCGAGTCAACGGGCAGTACATCATCGAAGGACTGTCGTCCGGCTTCATGTTCGTCCTTGGCGGGATCGGGATCGTTCTGTTGGATCTTGCGCTGGACAAGAATCGGGCGAAGAGCGTCAAGGTTTCGTATGCTTCTGCTGGGGTTTCCTCCATTGTGTTCTCCTATGTTATGAGTATGCTCTTCATCCGCATTAAGATCCCAGCTTATCTGAGGTGAATATTGTCATAATGCAGTTTTTCTATAGGGTGGTAGATTGAAAGTAGAGGGCTTGGGGGTTTTCGTCGTTGTCTTCCATAACCATATGAGCTGGTTGTTTGTGCTTGTTCTGCGCAATTGGATAATTTTGGAATGCTAGAAATGAATCAGAATGCTCTGCAATTTCAGGGTGGTATATTGAATTAAAGGGTTTTGGGGGGCTTTCGCCATTACGAATTGGAAATGTGCCGCGGTTGATTGTGTATGTTGTGCAATTGGAATGCTGGAATGAATCAGAATGCCCTGCATTTCCCCTAATTTCGATTTGTCTGTTCGCTGTGGTCGAATCAGTGAAGCATATAGCTTTACAGGATACTGATGGCATTGCAAGGTCCCAGAAAGACCAGAACTTGCTCTGCAAGAGCTCCAGCTAGCTGTTTCAAAACAGTACAGAAGTTCTGTTTAAAAAAAAAAAACTGACCTTCCAGTTCCAATTAAGCCAATCAAATGCAATGCTTCTCCAACCCTAAACCTCAGCCGGAATCGATGATGATCTTGCTGAGAAGGTTGCTCTAAAGCTCTCTTCAATGTTTACGGTAGCAGAGGGGATTGATGATCCACCAACGCAATGATGGGAGAATGGATGGTTGGGGGGAAGAGCAGAAGGGCCTTCACCAGGTAATTCGAACGAATCGCTCTACGACTAGGCGAACTTCCCTCAAGTCTCGAATGAAAGAAAGCCCTCGGTTGAGTTGTGCTTAACATTTGATTAGCAAAAAGCACTGGCAGCTGCCTCCTCCATGGCTCCATCCACACTATTAAACAGAAGATCCTAATGTGTTCATTAACTCCATTTTCAGTGCCCATGGAGGAGAAATACAGGACTACTGAGTACTGACACAGTGACACTACATAGCGGATTTGCTTCTCCATTTTGGGCTCACTTACGTTAAGCCCAAATGAGATACACAATAGCAGCACCGAAGACTTGGCCCTATTGAAGCCCACAATGATTGAATGGGCATGTATCAACTTTGAGCCAGTCTCCTAAGAGCCAATTATTTGTTTGCTAATTGGCATCCATGTGAAGAAGAAGAAGAAGAAGAATTTTGGTTATATAATAATACAACAGCAAAAGAACAAGAGGGGTGGTGGGATGGGAGTGAGGGAAGGAGGAGATTTAGTGGCCCCAACAATAAGAGATCAAAGCCCACCTTTTTGCCTTGGAATGTGAAGATCTCCACCATAGTTGTTGGGAAAGATCTTTTGAAAGAGAGAAATTTTGATAAGGAAAGATACTAAGGAGATCATGTTTAACAAACTTAGATCACTTTTGCAACACAAATTAAGTGTCACATATTCAATTTTTAGGCGATCGGTTTTCTCGAGTTATTTGAGGGTCCACAAAAGACAATTTTTCAACTTCAGACTCGTTAAGTATAAATCTTTGAAATCCGTTCAAAGAATTTGATGTTCTCGGACCCGTACGAAAATCTCGAATAATCAACACCCCTCACCTTGGCCAAGATCCCAAGACTGTTTTGCATAAGGGTCTTCCTTTCGAATCTAAACTCAAAGTTGATCGTGACATAAGTAAACTTTTGGAATTGTTCGTATAATCCACGCATAAATCATTGTTGATGTAAGCACCCCGGAGTGCATACCAATGATTTCTCCCTCCCTCTAAAAAAAAACAGGGATCAGCAAATGGAAGAGAAGAAACACAATCAAACTTTGGTACATTGCCCATTGTTATCAATAATGTCCTATTCCTACCCACTTAATTAATCTCATAATTATTAATTTTTAAAACAAATTGAACATGTAATTACTTGTTTCATAAACAATTTGTGCCCCAGAAAGCCAAATGAGCTGGACAGAATCAGATTGGGAGAGACACCTGATCCCATGATTAAGACATTATAGATACCTACTTCCCACTAAAACCAGCAATTAAACAAAATATATATAATAGAAAAGCAGTGGGAATTCATTAATTAATTTAATCAGCCTGAGATCCGTCCCTAACAACAAGAGATCATCACCCGCACAGACATATATTTTGTGCAGGTTACTAATCGTACGTGGCTCCTTTGGCCACCAATAATAATCAAATCCCCAATTCATTTGGTTAATTAATCAATCATTTCTTAATCATTTTTAATATTAAGGTCCACTTCTTCTTGTATAAACTCTGAAGGAAATCCCCACCCTGGCCACTGCATTTCTGTGCAGTTTTAGAGTGAGAGAAACAGAGATAGTAGAGAGAGAGAGAGGAACCATTTTTGTTGGCTTAAGGAAGCTCCAAGAACAACGCCTACACGAAGCAATGATGATCCTGCAGGTTACCCTTTGAGGTTAGTATACAATTGAAATATCTTCATCCATACCTAGTCCTTTCGTTCGATTTTCTTCGTGTTGGTCTTTTGGTAGGTGATGTCGATTTTTCTTAAATGCGAAATTCAAAGTAAGATTGTATGGTTTTTAACTCCTCTGCTTTGTTAGTAATATGTATAAATGAAACACTACATGCGCATCGAGGTCAACATGTACTAGTGACACGGCTTCTTAAATCTTAACCACTACACCACAAATGCTAATCGAATTAAACTCTTATAAAATTGAAAATGAAAAAAAAACCATTGGTCTATATATGCATATACGTTAAGTAAACCACATACACATGCAAAATTTACGCCACGATTTGCCTCGAGGTTGAAGATCAGGAGGTGAATTACAACTACGTACACGAAGGTAGGATGAATACATTAATTACAAGTAACAACTCATATGCAAAAAATGTTACATCAACACACAATTCAGAATGTGCGTCTTCAGTTGCTGCCGACAGAGAGTCGTGTTGTACAATACTGCACTAGAAAAAGCAAGTAAGCAACGTTCCTGACTCGGTTTGAGCATAGTTGAGGGTTCGGTTAGGTTTCAACCGGATATGATTAGGTTTTAGTTTCGGTTCGGTTGGCCTAAGAGCTCTCTTCTGTACGTCTTTGATCTTTCCTTCTAGCTTGGCATGACGATGAAGTTCAATTTGAACCAAAGATGGATAGTTTTGTATCTTTTCCCCTTTGATCATAAGGCCCAAATGTGAGCCGAATAAGATAGCGTCACTTGACTCAAAGAAGGAGCAAAACAAAACCAAAAAAGAAAGAAACACATTTGGGCCCTTAATGGGCTGCTGGGCCACCGCCGGCGTCAGCCATCAGCCACTCGCGTCCTCGACCGTACAGCACAGCAGTCACCGGCGGTCCGGACATCACACGAGCCCAATTTCCGTACCAAAACAAAATAGTTTTTGTTTTATTCCTCTGAAAATAATAACTATTATTATTATTCATCAGATTATGCATGAGAACCAAAAAAAAATATATATATGACACAGAGATTTTAATTTTGGGTACTGCAGATCCCAAATCTTCTTCCTGCCACCCCTCCGATTTCCATTTTCAGCCAAAAAAACAAGAGTAAAAAATAATGAATTTTATTTAAGATACTCAAGTTTTTCTTTGTTTTTTCCCCCCATTTTGTCATTTTTCGGCTATACAGGGTAAAATCCAGAGAATCTTCCATGATTTCTCTGCCCACTATGGATTTCGTTCTGGGTTGGTAGCTTGTGGATGAAATCTTCTACTAACAATATAACATTACCTTCACCAATCCATTATATAAACTCAACCTATATGTATGTCTAAGAAGTTGAAGTAGTGAGAGAGTTAGTAGTGGTTCAGATGCTTGTCGTTTTATTGATTGGTCCGAGCAGCAGAATCATCAACCGACTGTAATAGGTTTTTATGTTGCTGGATAGTTCGCAATGAACAAGCCCACTAAATGTATTATAGTGTGCTCGTGCTTATGTCAGCTTAGCTTTAAACATAAGACGCATCATGTTACATGAAGTTAGCAATTGAATATTTCTTCGACGAAATTGATTTTTTTGGTGGAAATGCAATCAACGTCTATTTCGTCGCTCTATATAGTTACGTCGAGTATTGATAAAAGCTAACATCTCTCTAACCTTTTCGTTCATACAAAACAAAATTTGTAAGCTATAAATAAAAATCGATTACCTATTTATTTAGTACAACAATCCATCATGTAATGTTTTGTAATGCAATTGGGTTTGCACAAGTGGACACCGTGGGAGCATAGCCATATATAGTACAAAATTTATTGGGAAAATGTCATTAAAATCCATAGATTTGAAATCTACCCTACCCTACAACTTCATATCCCCTTTACCAAAGCTTCGGATCTCTGTAGATACGTCCTTTCAAGATTTCATGCAATGGATTTGGATGTTTACATTACTTAGCCTAGATATGAGCCCTAAGCCCTTAAACCGACCCTTTTGCACATCGATTTTACAATGCCAAATTGCCTATAAAATGGACAGAAATGAGGAAAGAAGGGAAGTAAAGAGAAGAGGAAGAGAAAGATGCACATGGTGGATGCATGGTAATTGGGTACATGCAATATAAAAAAAACGGGAAGAAAGTGGGAGCTAAAACCCTAATGACATCCTTTCTATGGCTTATGAAAGTCTTGTAAGATGGAAAAGGGTGCAAGATATGGAGTTCGAGTTCTCCTAAATTCTTTTATCTAACTCTTTGTTAGAAGTTCGGAGACATGATAATGAATTTGACCAAAAAATGTACGTGTAATTTCGATGTAGAGGGAGAGAAAGAGAGTTGAAATTTCAAATTTAATTTCAGGAGACGTGAGATCAAGCTAGAGATGTTTTTGCTACTAAATCTAGGAACTCTTTAGTCTTTGGTGTAATGTGATACTTTGTGTATTTATTTGACATCGTTAATTAACAGACATGGGACGTGACTGCTAATATTGTTGTGGCCAACTGAAACTTGCAAGTACCTCCGTTATTATTATTTTTCTTCCCTCAATCTTGTTATTGATTTATATTGTAGATATAACAATTTGTATTTTTCACTTACAAGAAAGGGAAAGAAAAACACACAATTCAAAAAAATATGATTTTACCATCTAAC